AGGGCACATCACTGATTGATTTCTACCAAGGTAGTATAAAGTTAGAGCTACAATACCGCTACTAATTTTTGTTCAATCGACGAAATGCGACGCAGTCACTCCGTCGCAACCATAACTCGTGGACAAATGGGTTAGGTCATTCGAAATTATATACTCGATATCCGTAAGTTGGGGTAGGCGTGTCACCGGAAGTGACGTGCACTTGATAGAATCTATGTGGATAAGCTGCTTCCAACATACATCGCTGGATATCAGCAAAGCATGCTGGCAACAGCTTATCCACGCAACTTCTATCAAGTGCACGTCACTTCCGGTGACACGCCTACCCCAACTTTCGGATATCGACTGTACCACTGGATAGCTCTGCTCACGAAGAATCCAACGGTTAGAGGACTATTGAGTTCTCTGAATTTTCGCTTCATTTTCATGAAATTTATCAAATTACCTGAGGCTGACTCATTAGCGAGCGTCGCTCGCTATAATTATAACCAGAGGGGAACAGATATTAATAGTAGTATTTAGCGAGTAATAAAGTTATTATATTACTCCTATGTAAAGTGAAAAAGAGACTGTTGTGTTCTTCAGATGGTGCTCGTCATTTTGATACCGAATTCATCCCAGGTGGGTCAGCTTTGTTGAATGTCATTTTTGCATGGAAAAGCTCCTTTGAGCCAAAGTATAGTGAAAACTAATAGGATCTGAGCCTTGTCACTTGAAGTTCCTTTTCTACAGAGCTCACCCCATTGACGAAAAGATTTTGAAGTTCCTACCTAGCACCAGCTGTCAATTTCGGTGGTGGGGTCCGTTCCTCCAAGTGGTGCCACTGGGAACTGCTCACTTTTGTGAGCTGAGCTGAACGCGGACATTCGAATGCAGGCGACAGGCCCCCGTGACAGGCCGGCCTACGAACACCCACGTCACATCACAAATGTTAATGTCGCTATGTGATTTCCGAGATAATGCTACGGCGTCCGCGGGAGCCGACGCGCACTCGCAAAGCCCGGCGAGTGTGAAAAGTATGCGAGGGTCTCCGGTGCAAGGACGGCATCGGGGGGCAACTAGGCTAGTCCAAAAGTCCTGCAACGTATGGAAGACTCGCGTTGCGACGTTAAATGTTGGCACGTTGACGGGCCGCTCGTACGAGTTAGCAGAAGCTCTAGAGCGCCGACGAATTCTGTGCCGTGCAGGAAACGAGGTGGTCCTGCTGCAAGATCGAGAGATATTGGACGCGGCTTCAAAGCCGTTCTTTGTGGCGGTCCTAGAACCACCAGAGGGGTCGGAGTAGTTGTTTCTGACCGCTTCCGTGACTCGATCGTAAGCGTTGATCGTTATGACGACCGTCTAATGAAGATTGTTGTCGTCATCGAACGTAAGCGATACCACTTCTTTTCTGCATATGCTCCGCAGACTGGCTGCTCTGAGCGAGCCAAGGACGAGTTCTGGACCTTGCTGGATGAAAAGACCGCAGATGTACCGTCAGAAGAGGCTGTCATTGTCGCAGGTGACCTTAACGGTCACGTCGGCACTGCGAAAGACGGGTACAACTGTCATGGTGGATTTGGATATGGGTCACGTAACAACGATGGCGAACGAATTCTTGAGTACGCAAATTCGCACGATCTCACCATCGTGAATACGAATTTCCGGAAACGTGATTCCCACCTCATCACCTCTATAGCGGTACTACCAGAACGCAAATCGACTTGTCCTCGTCAGGCAAACGCGATCGAGGGCTCGTAACAGACGCAAAGGCGGTGCCGTATGAGACTGTCACCACGCAACATCGACCGCTGATTTGCACGCTGAAGATCGCTCCTCCGAAATTGAAACAAATCGAGCGGTGTGGACCAGCGAGAATCAAGTGGTGGCGTTTGAAAGAGAAGGAGGCGGTCGTGATATCCAACATTCAGTTGCCGGCAGTCACTACTGTTGATGAAACTTGGAAAAGTGCTGCCGAGGCGATAATCCGTTCTGCTTCCGAACTCGGCACAACAAAACCTGGGCGACGGAAGATCGACAAGCAAGCGTGGCTATGGACGGACGATGTTAAAGAAAAAGTACGTGAGAAGAAGAGGCCACGTATTTCTTGGCGATAAGACTGTCGACAACTGGCGGAGTTATCAGGCAGCTAAGCATGCGACAAAGAAGGCCGTTGCTGCCGCAAAAGCTGCCCACTTTGCCGATGTTAGCGAGAAGCTCGAGACACGCGATGGTGAACGCTATGTTTATCGTCTTGCCAAAGCCCGCCATCGCCAGTCCGAGGACATCGAGAAGTTTTTCGGCATCAACGACGAAAATGGTAACCTCCTGACGGACCGCAAGAAAGCAGTGAAGCATGGCACGATTACTTCGAGAACATCTCAGCCGTAGAATTTGCCCACCCAGCAGTCCCTTATGTCCCGCCAGTGCAAGGTCCTGTGCAGAGAATAACCGTGGAGGAAACGGAAAGGGCTCTGAAGAAGATGAAGTCAGGAAAGGCTACAGGTCCCGATGATTTGGCGGCCGACATATGGAAGTCAAAATGCTGGTGTCCTGCTGAATGGTTGACCAAAGTTTTTCACAATGCAGATCCGTAGCAGAGAGAAAGGTGCCTGAGAGTTGGCAGCAGAGCACAACGATTCCGATTTGGAAGAAGAAAGGCAGCCCTGCTGACTGTACGAGTTACCATCCAATCCGCCTGCTTTCGCATATCATGAAGATCTCTTGAGCGAATTGTGGACGCCTATAACATAACACAATCGTAACATCGTGCAGCTCTTCCATCAACCAGTGTGGATTTGTGTCAGGCTGCGGCACCATCGATGCAATACATGCCGCCCGCCTTCTGTTGGAAAGACATCGCGAGAAAAGAAAAGCTGTGCATCTTGCCTTCCTGGACCTGGAGAAGGCTTTTGATCGCGTTCCTCGAGAAGTCATATGGTATGCTTTACGACAGCACGACGTTCCTGAAGAGCTCATTGAGTGGGTGCGCATACTTTACTCGAACTCAAGGAGTCGGGTGCAAACGGTGGCAGGTACTTCGATGGAATTTCCCCATCTCGGTCGTGCACCAAGGCTCTGCGCTTTCCCCACTCCTATTCATTGTCGTTATGGATGCCATTTCGCGTGATCTTCAGAAGCCGCTCCATGGACGCTTCTTTATGCTGATGACGTGATGCTCGCATGCGATGACAAACATCTGCTCGAGCAACAGGTGCAAACCTGGTCCGACCGTCTGGCTATGTTTGGGCTCAGGTTGAATGTGAAGAAGACAGAGTACTTGACCACCGATTTGAGTGAGTCAGGCACAATTAAGATCAGTGGCACTGAGCTCACACGTACAACATCATTCAAGTATCTTGGGTCGGCAATCGCGTCCGACGGCAGCTGATCTCTGAAGTAAAAACTCCCGGTGAGTGCAGCTTGGTCCAAGTGGCGCTCGATGACCGGCGTTCTCTGCGATAAGAAAATACCAGAGCGACTGAAATCTAAGATCTACAGAACCGTCGTCCGACCAGTCGCCATTTACGGAGCAGAGTGCTGGCCCGTGACTAAAGAGGTTGAGGCTCGTCTCAGTGTAATGGAGACAAAAATGCTGCGCTGGACTGCCGGGGTCACGCGTTTAGACCACATTCGCAACGATACCATCAGAAAGCGGTTCGGTGTGGCTCCCATCGCTGATAAGATGCGCGAAGCTCGCCTGAGGTGGTACGGTCACGTCCTTCGCGCTAATGATGAGAGTGTCCGTAAGATCGGTCTAGACTTTAACGTGCCAGGAAAGCGGCCAAGAGGACGCCCGAAGCAACGATGGCTTGATACGTTGCATGAGGATTTGAAATTAGTTGGCCTTCACCCCGATCAGGCACATAATCGGGAAAAGTGGCGTCGTAATACCAGGAAAGCGGACCCCGCCACAGGGTGGGACAAACTAAGAAGAATAAGAAGAAGCGCATCTTATGAACTTCGAGCCAGCCGGTCGATAAGGAGCGAATTCCTATTTTTTCATGGGAGAACAGTACAAAAAGTATACCATTGAGATCCTCGGGAAAAATGATTTTCATTGATATGAATTTCAAGTCACAAAATTCTCTATGCTTTTTCGAGTTTCATCGCGGCCATCTCTCCAGCACTAGACCATTCTACCTAATTGGGCGTCTCGCCGAGCCGCTGACCTCCAGATGTCTCTCAATTACCAGAGGGCTTTTGTCGCACCTCAAGATCAACGAGAGAATGGTAGGACTGCGTTATGTTTTATGAACAGCAAATTCATCAAACTTTCTATTTTTTATCATGATTGTTCCCCCCTCCACTTCACACTTCATGAGAACCAACGGGAGAAAGTGAATCACGCTTCACTCAGTGGGTCACCATTTAATATTAGGTTGTCTCATAAGTGATGTCGTTTTTTTTCAACCAAAAAATTTTCATCTAAATCATGAAACTTTTACATCGTTTTATATATCATTCGAAAGAGAATTGTCTGCTCTACAAAATGCTGTGTTCCGCTTCCACCGCTATTTCAGAGTTTTCGAATTTCAGGCCAGCAAAATGGGAGGTCTCGCCGGCAAAAATTGACCAAACCGACAACTGGCTGTAACTTTATTTTCCCTGGGGAGAAATCAACCAGTGATATACCCTATACTTACCCATGACCTCTTCTAAACATTCCACTCTTAGGTTGCCGAAAAAGCTTTGCCGTTTTTCTTTTCGAATTGGCTGACCGATAAGCCATAGCAATTTTCAAATTAAAATTGTTCCTCGTAAACGCATTGTTTCATATCGAGTGGTGTTCCTTTTACGAGCACTTCTTCTGCTCTACTCGCTCATTTGTTTTGTTTCTCTGTTTGTTGGGAATTAGTTCGAATTTTAGATGTTTCGGTATAAGGTGCTTTACCGCGAAAGTGACCACATTTCTTTGAAAAAAATTATCCCTTAGAAAATGAGAAAATCAACCAGTCGTACATTCCTAACTTAGTCATGACTTGTTCTTCAAATTCAACCAGTTCTTCAACGTCTCGGCCATAAAAAAATTTCGACCTAGATCACAGGTAATGGTGCTCGATCGTCGAGTTCTGGTTGAAAAACCAGCTCTGGAAATTGAACGACGCGATTTGTAGGAAAACCTAGTAGTGTAATGATTAGAAGAGGTCATGCATAAGTAGAAGGTACATCATAGATTGATTTCTCCCAAGGAAAGATAATGTTAGAGATAGTTGTCGGTTTGGCCATTTTTTGTCGGCCGGACCTCCCATTTCACAGGCCCAAAATTTGAAAACCCTGGAAGAAATGTGGAAGTGGGACATAGCATTTTGTAGAGCAGACAATTCTCTTTCGAATGGTACACAACGATGTAAAAGCATGGAGGTTTAGATGAAAATTTTTTGGATGAAAAAAAGCGACACTGTTTATGAGACAACCTAATAATATTGTAAGTGCGGGACACTGTGACCTCCCAACAGAAACGTGACACACAGTGATCTATTTTGAATTAGCTAAGTTCGATGATTTGCTGTTCATAAAAACATAACGCAGTCCTACCATTCTCTCGTTGATCTTGTCGTATCTTGAGGTGCGACAAAAGCCCTCCGGTAATTGAGAGACATCTGGAGGTCAGCCGCTCGGCAGCAGGCCATGTGAAAATGACATTCAACAAATCTGACCCACCTGGGATGAATTTGGTATCAAAATGACGAATATCATCTGTGGAACGCAACAGTCTCTTTTTCACTTTACATAGGAGCAGTATAATAACTTTATTACTCGCTAAATAGTACTATTCAATATCTGTTCCCCTCTGGTTATAATTATAGCGAGCGACGCTCGCTAATGAGTCAGCCTCAGGTAATTTGATAAATTTCACGAAAATGAAGCGAAAAATTCAGAGGAACTCAATAGTCCTCTGGAACCGTTGGATTCTTCGTGAGCAGAGCTATCCAGTGGTATAATAGACTTCTAATCGACCGTGCTAGCCCACTTGTCCCGATTATGGCGAGGCGCCGTTGCACGAGTGACTGCGTCCATTCCGTTGATTGCACAAATTAGTAGGCGTACTTGTAGTTTGTTCCGGTTTGCGCCATTTATCGTCATCCGGACACCATTTCGCAGGCCACAAATTGGAAAATCCTGCAACGAATGTGGAAGAAAATCATAGTAAGGGCAGACATTTTTCCTTTTGAACGGTTGTCAAAACTTGGGGAATTAAGAGAAAATTTTGTGCTTGAAAAAAAACCGACGCTACTTATGGGACAACCTTATACCTCCCAGCGGCGTACAAAGATATATAGTAGCAACTAACCATGAGATGCTGCTTAATAATGTCATTTTTTACTATTGACCATTGATGTCCTGAGTAGTAACCTAGCTTCTCACAAATACTTTCGAAATCATTTGAAAAAGGTTTTGGCTTCGGAAGTTCACTGTTTCATCTTGACTGAACTGTTTTGTCCAAAAACTCTTCAGAACGTCTGGTAGCGTTATATGCTTCTACTTTTTTTGCTGGACCAAATATCTGAAGGGAATTTTCGATGCGCAAAAGGCGGTGGCAACTGACGTTTCATGAACGTTTTCGATAGCAATTTCAGTCGTTCATTTCAGGGCGTCCTTCAGACTATTTGGGATTGTTTGCTTGCAGTGCTGGTATAGGTGCTGAGGAGTACTGTAAAGAACTGGAGAAGAATCATGACGATTACGCTAGCATTATGGTCAAGGTACGTGCAGTTAGGAAAATTTGCTGTTTTCGCGACCAATGAACTCCTTTGGGAAGTGACTTGCAGCTTCCATTCGAAGAACATTTGACATTTTATAATAGTTGACTCATGTGAACAGTGTGCGCAGAGGTCAGATATACATATCAGTGACATATATCATTGCCCTAAGTATTTTATGCAAGGATTCAGCGATTTGAAAAGTCACGCGCGTGGACAATTTGGTTTTTGGTGGATATGAGAGGATTCGGTAAGCGCAAAGCGTCAAAGCCACTTGTCGACATTGACTTGGTGTATTGTTTTGTTCAGAAATTCAGAAAGAAGTGCAACGAGGAACTTCACCGGAAAGGAAAAGCAAAAAAGACGCTATAGAAAACCCTCCACGGATCTCTTTCACTGAGGGTCCTCTCTCACTGAAAGATCTCGAGCCGGTTGGTGGCGAGGCTACGTGGCGCGACCCCAGGTGGCGGATAGGGGGTAAATCGCGGACCAAAAGCCACCATGTACTTGCCCTGAGACGCAGGTGGATTCAGGGGATGGACTCCCTGTTTCTGTAGTGCTGTGTTGATTCATACCAGCTGTCTCCACTCAGGCGCATCCATGCATGCTTGCGTGTGTGGTGCGCTCTGTGTGTGTGCGGTTGGTATCCTGCATGTCGGCACAGCCAAAAGCTTGCATTCAAGTGACTGGGAAGTACATGGGAGGCGATTCGGGGCCGCCTCCAAAAACTAAGCCCCTTGTTCCGCTCCAGGATAGCGTGGCTAACTACCTGGAGGTCTATCCTAGCCCACACGACAGAGCCTGGCAAGCTACTCGTGTGCCTTCAATATGCCGAAAACAGCAATATGGATGGGCCTCAATCGAAGATAAGCCGGACACGTCATGCGATTTTGCGATGACCGTTGGACCAGAGCGGTTACCGACTGGATCCCTCGGGACGTCAAACGAACACCTGGACGACCGCCGGCCCGATGGTCAGACTTCTTCACGAAAGCTCTGAACGAAAGGAATGAAGGACTTCGTGTCCCTCGAGCGAGGAGGATCCACTGGACCACTCTAGCACGCGACAGGGACGAATGGAGACGTTGCTGGCGCCCGCTCGAGCAATCGACGATCAACGGGACGACAGGTGATACAGGTGATAGAAAACCCTGACATTCCAGTAATGGTATGACAGAGCGACGCAGCGCGCGAGGTGGGGGAAGGTGAGACATTACGTTGTACAGGAGAGGGCGCAGACACCATGTACGCTGCCACCGATATGCTTGGCAGCACAGCAGCCCACAAGGCAAAGCCTTAGCGCCGTTGCTTCACATCTTTTGTCGCACCTTCTGCGCTTGAAATCCCTCTCTCTCAACCTAAGAGGGGCGTGTGGTGCTTGAGAAATTTGCTTTTGGGCTGGTACTGCAAGCCCACTGGTTGAATGATCACAACATAGCGCAATTTTTTCGACCGTATTCTGCAAATTACGATGGCTGATAGATCGCCATCAGACCAATATCAATACTTTATCCATTTGAGTTAAAGACAGAGATGTGACGACAGCTAGCGCCACTACTGACTGAATGATTTCGGTATAAAATTGCAAATCGAATTCCACTTGGTAAGCCAACTTCTTTTACTCCTTCATGGTCGGATTAACTAAACTAGTACTGTTTGAGAAGGGGGCATTGACTTGTACATATAACGTTATTTTTCGCATTTTACTTTATGCAGTAGATGGTACGAGTGCCATTACAATACTCAATTCAATGGAATTAGCATGCATGGCGCATCCTAGAGATGCGGCTGATCAATACCAAACAACATCATAAGGCTGCTTCACGAAATGTAATATTTGTAGGCGCTTGCTGATCGCTTGGCAGAAGCATTCGCGGAATATCTTCATAGGCAGGTTCGGATAGAGCTTTGGGGATATTCAAAGGATGAGGTGAGACTAAAGACGCTATTGTCTGTTTGATCCGATTTGACGGGGTTTTCATGCTCTCCTTTTTGCTTGTTACTTTGCCTTCTAGCATCAAGGCAAAGCTACAAGCAACCAAAGAAGCTCACTGATGGATTTCTTATTAGGAGCTGACTGAAGCTGATCTTCTTGCTGTGAAGTATCACGGAATTCGGCCAGCACCCGGTTATCCCACTCAACCAGATCACACTGAAAAACGAACGCTGTGGAATTTGCTGCAGGTGAGGGCTTCTAATCCATTCCGATGAGCTTTTTTATGGTTTGTAGGGTTCTTGATGAGTTCCCGCAGTTCTTCTACAGCAAAAAAATCGGAGTACAGTGTATTAGACGCGAGTTTGATTAAATTTCATTACGAACGACAATAAAATAGACGGAAAAATAATATAAATGAAGCGAAGTTGATGAGGAGGGAGGGCGTGTAGTTGCCGGAGTGGGAATCTCTCCTATTGGTTACTTCTCTGAAATATGTACCCTCAGCTCCCCCCTCAGCCATGTCCCACCAGATCATCGGGGAGTCCGCGCTTAGTGCCCGGCGCTTCACTGGTAGGCCACTTTTGACCAACAGGTTCACTTCAAATCAGAACTTGCCTAATGTCTGAGAAGTGTTCCCATTTGCTAAAGGCTTGTCCTTTTAT